GCCAAATGTACCAGTACCATTGTCCGCATTTGACTCGCGCATTTAGCACTAAACTTGGCTTACGAATTTTCAACATCCGTCTTTTGAACGTGCACGATGAGAACATTAAAGAGAACATTACAACAGAACAATCAGAGTCGGGAGTACGAAGATCGACCGGGCGTATACGCGTATAAAGATTAGAGTTTAAATCTCTTCCATATATTCTTGCTTTATACGCTACATTGACTATCCTATTTCCTATTTCTGCATTCTTCATTCTAGCCTTGATTTCAAGCTGAAATATCGCGTCGATATATATCCCGACGCTTCTCATAAAGATGCTGCTCGAATTGCTTCGCGTGTCGAGAAACGAGCGTGTCTTCGGTCTAGGTAGATGGGAATCTAAAAGCCGATATTGCTTCGATATGAAGTTGTATCGATATTGCAGCGCGCATAACAGGAGGTCATTACAAAAATCCATCGGCAAAGGGTGAAGTTAACGAAGAAATAATGGAAAGTTGGAAAAGGAAAAGGCTAAACGCTTTGAATAACCGAACGGCGATATTTTTCATTAATTAAAACGGACGAAAATCCACTTTAGTGTATAATATTTTTAAAAATGTTTTCTCCTGCATTCCGAGAATTTTAAGAAAAACTGAAAGGGAAATAATCAGGGAAAAGACAATAAATTAATTTAGCAAACGTTACCGAATTCAGGGTCGGTTTGAACATATATCGCTATACTCCAAGTATTATTTGTACGCGAATCCAAGTCACGTTTTTACCGTCGAGACAGTGAAAATATAAATGTTACGGCGATTGTCAAAGCGAAGACAGGAAAACGATGAGGAAAGAGTATAGCGGAAATTATGGTCGGCCAGACAGAAATTCAGGGCATCATCGTTGTTTGGTCGACGGAGCACTGCTTGTTCGCGGCGACGTATCCTGTTATCGATGTGTATCGGTTTTCGTTTTCCCTACGTTCCAAGGATCGAGTGGACATTCGCCGATAAAATCAGTTGATACACTAGGCTAGTACCTTCTGTATGAATGGCAGAAGAAAGATACGAGCGAAGTACACAAGTGGCTGAAAAAGGTGGGGGCAAGAAGAACGAAGCAGGACTCTATACAGTTACAAATGGTCTAAGAGACAGGTGAACAATTCGATAAATCGTCAGGGATGAAATATATTTCAGTCGAATAAAATTTAATTATCTGCTTGACTGCGTGATTTATCGAGTTTATCGACTTTTTTTTATTGATGCTTTTTTTTTATATTTTGTGTCATGTTATTAATTGAAAATTAATCTTCGCTAGAATTCTTAATTTGTCATTTATCTGAAGCACATGTTACACGATGGTTTCTTCGATTACTTTCAAACAAGATTTTTAAATTTAAATATAGCGCCAAATTGGCAAATCTATAATTTTGAATATCGAGGGCTTCTGGCGACAGAACTATAAAGTTTGATGCAAGCAGACGTAGACTCTGCTACTTGTGAAAATCCATGAAAACCCATATTCTATCTACGTGACTATTTGCTTGCATGCATCCTCTCCCATTTCCTGCAATCCTGCGTATTATGTCAATATCCATGGCTGCCTATTTCCGACAGATTCCTTTAAGTAAAGGAGCGGAGTAAGTTTAATATTTAGACTATTTCTTTTATAGTCTTTTAGTGGTCTATATTCCGATATTCTTTTCTTCTTCTTTCTTTCTTCATCTATTGATATTATGTGTATTGTGTGTGTGTGTGTGTGTGTGTGTGTGTGTGTGTGTGTGTGTGTGTGTGTGTGTGTGTGTGTGTGTGTGTGTGTGTGCGCGTACGTATTAATATCGCAGATCCTTAATGGAATGTCTCTTAACAAGCTCACGAGCTCATTGAATACCACAAAGGAAGAAAGCGTCAGAGAAATGCACTCTGTTGAAGGAAGATTTATGTCGTTGTTCAAGGAAGAGAAAAATAATGAGGCAAGAGGGCAGCGAATGTTGTCGCTACGTTCTGTAATACGGTTCAGAAAAAGCTTGCTCTTGCCTCAACGTCTACGGGGTTTCTTTCCGTTTACTTCTCGTAGCTTGCGTATCAAGAGGACCGACGCAACAGCGAGGAAGAACAATAAACCTTCTTCGAATCGAGCTCGGATAAAACGAGACTCCGACGGTGCATTTTATTTTTCCTTTCTTACTCGATAACACATCGATACCTCGAGTGGCGCGGATAAATTGAATTACGCGAGGCCCTCGATAATAGAATTAGTCGGCCAGAACGGAAAATATCTGCAATTTACTTTTATGAAGCTTCACCTAGTGCACGCGTCATATGGCGTTGCAATAACCGGCGTCTGGAATTTCTGAATCCCTCCAGGAATAAACCGCGTCTGCAAGCAGTTAGAGGAGACATTTTGATAATGCTGAAAATGGTTTAAAACGTCGCACGTAATTGAAGGCGTAATTGAAATAGATAAATACAGCTAAGAATTATTAATTTTTTGTAACCAGGCGGCCCGAATGAGCGCTCGAAAAATTTAACTCTTTAATTCATACGCTCTTAACAAATAGCCGTGCAATAGCGTCGGGAATGAAAAAGTTAATTACGGCGCACATAAAGTTATCGCATCGTTGTTGATTGGCGATGGTAACCTGAGTTATTTTCACGCTCGCATATCTCTAATTCCACCGTCGTTCACTCGCGCATTTATTTTTTTCCCCTCCGTAATATCATACATATTTCATAGTTCTGCTGGATATATTCAACCGCGCGCGGTATTGTTTACGAAAAAAATCGGCGAGTATAAATTCGAAAACAGCGCGGACCACGCCGTTGCGGGTTACATCTGGTCCGCGTGGAGAAAATCCCCGATCGTTTTACAAGCTCGTTCGCAGCGTGTCGCCGCATTCTCCTCGTCCGGCGCGATCGCCGCCATCGCCGCGCGACGCTGGCATTGCAGAATAAAACTACAACTCTCACCACCGAGCTCGCCATTTCGACGAGTCGAACAAAGCGATTCGGCAAAGGGAGATCCAGCGGGGTAGCCAGCGGGGGTAGAAAAAAATCGTACGCCCCCGCGCGATCGAAGCCCGGAGGGCATTTGCAAGTTTCAACGACGTTCAGTCGTGGTGCTTAATTCACTCTAATCCCTTTGCCGCTATAGCTCACGATCAAACGCGTAAATCGCGCTCAAGTCGCACGAAAGTGCCGGAAAAACGGGTTTCGGGCTAGACTTCCCGATTGCCCTTTATTGTTTCTGCGGAAGCAGCATTGTTTTCTCGAGAACGACCGTTGATAACGCGCTGCGCGGTCTCTGACGAAGGAAGGATCGGAAAGCCATAACTCTTCGTAAACAACAGAGAAATCGCCATGAATTTCTGACGAGCGTACAAGACGCAATGCTCGATAAATTAAAAATTCGCGAAGCTCTTGGAAATGTATCACGTGATCCATCTTTCCCTTCTATTCGTCTCTCTCTCGCGAAGAGTTCATTATCTGCAGATCGCGAACTTATTTCGGTCAATCCGTCCACGTTCAGGAGATGTTGCAGAAATTGAAATAATACGCCATTCCGATCAGCGCATTGGAATCGATCTTAGATACGGACTATTTTAAGATGAAACTATTCGCGGCATGCGATGCCATCACCGTAAGAGCATCGGAGCGCTGCAACAATTGCGTTATTTCGATATATATCGACCTTTTTCGCAATACAGGAAGTGCACGCGGGGTTTCCTGCTCTCTATCAAACGATCCCCTGCATCTCTTCGTTTATGATTCTTTTGTCATCGTTTCTCGTCTCGGCGAGCGACGGGAGAAATTATTCTCTCCATTTGCTGAGTTCTACGTCGGCCTTGTCAGGCAAATATACAGTTCGCTCTTATCCCGTCATATAAGTTAATTGTATCATATGCATACGCTTTTTTAAATTTTTCGCTCGTATAATTACTTTTATAACGTGGCCCTTTTTCAATTTTCTATTTAATGAATAAATGGACGGTGCATACCGCGACCTCGAAATAATGCCTGGTAGCTGCGCGTAATACGGGGAAATAAATTGAAATGTCTATCGTCAACCGTGCCGCTTGTGTGTGGCTTCATTGACGCAGAAAAGAGGAAATGAAATTTCAGAATAGTAGACATCACGCAATATATAAGATTTTCTTATTCTTCGAAAAACATCACCATTTGTTTAATGGTGATTATCACTTGCTTTTTTTACCTGGTGGTGTAATGAAGTATGCTTTTCGCATTTTAAACTTATATTAACTTCCTTTTCAACCATTTATTAATTATGCATGTTGCCTCATAGAGAGAAGCAAGAAATGGATTTCAAAGTTAATTCACAAAGTATATCTGTATTGCTTTGCAAATATTGTTTCACTATATTTGTAAAAAAATATTTTTTTTAATTTTACATGCAAAAAGATAGTACGTGCGCATATATTTCTGTTTACGCAGAAAACAAGATTGAAAGCTGATAGCTGCCCATTCTTTATTTTACCCATTCTTTATTTTAGAATACGAGTATGTTGATTGAAAAAACACTGTTTTTGTATTTTATCTTTCGCTGCTGCGAGAAACTAGAGTTGTGCCGCGAATTTCTCATACATCGTTCTATAAATTGAAATTTTTACGGTTTCGGCTAAACTTAAACCTGGAAAGACGGTAACCCGGTAACCCGCGAAGATTGCGTCACACTTAGGAATAAATTTTGTGGTCTACTTTTTATTGTTTTTTATCGTTTTACTGGCGAGGATACGATTACGCTGTTGTATTGTTTTCATTGATTGCATACCTCGAAAGAATAATAATCATGAAAATTAGGTTTATAACATTTTATTTTAACGAATTATTTAATATAAAATATAAAATATAAAACATGCGAAAATGTATGTAATGGTTATAAAAATGTTAAAGTCATCTCCTTCGGCAATACCGGTACTCTGGATGGTTTCCCATTACATTTTCTTTTTGTTCTTTATCGCGAAACATTTTCACGATTTTTCAAGCGCCTTTTTCTCTCTCTTCATCCCAATGTTTAACCGTCGCTTACGATTTTTACGCTCCCCGTATAAAAGATGCGGCGTGTTTTACTAGAAATTTTTACTTGCCAGTCCTTTTTATTTCCATTTCTCCCCTCACATCGTTTTCCTTACTTAAATATTTTATCTTGTATGCACGAGAAACTCTGAAGTCTGACATCCCGTTAAATATCCGATCTGCCTAACATCCGGCGTGAAAAAAAAGGAAACGAATACAAAGGCTGTTCCTTTGTAACGGAGTTTTAATAAATAAATTTCATGACGACCATAATCTTGGGAATACTGGCGCAAAATACTCACAGTTGAAGGAATATGAATAAAATTATTTGGATATTAGGTCGGCATGAATTTACGCGGCAAGAATATTAATAAAAACCACTTTATTTTTCGATAATAGAAACGAGAAAAACCGAGGCAAATGTAAGTCGCGGGACAAAGGTGATTTCGCTTTTGCGTTCCGCTGTTCATCGTGTAAAAATCATTTATATACAGTTCGGAGTAAGTAATCGCCGTTTCAAAGTTCGTTGCTTTGTAAAAAACATCCGATGATATTATCTCGTAAGTAAATTCACATCGTATCCGGCGTAAATTGCAGCACCATATTCTCTGTCATGCCATGTTACCTCGTTCCTGTGAACATTCATCGGTGTGTGTCTCCGTCGTCTTTTCGCCACCCCTCAGAAGTTCCTGAATTTCGCGGAACGTCCGGCCTTTGGTCTCGGGCACGGTGAATATCACCATCACGAATGCTAGTAAGCACGACGCCGCGAAGAAATAGTAAACGGTATCGGCGCCCAGCCAATCGCCTATCACCTGATACAACTTGGAAACGGCGAAGCCGAGTATGCCGTCGAAGACAATGATGATGGCACCGGCAAATGCCTTCACCTCGGTGGGAAACAATTCGCCCATTAACGCGTTTGGTAGAGTGCCCAGTCCGATCTGGTAGGTTACCTGGAAGACAATCACGTCGATCACCGGAAGAAGATTCGCCGTAGACACGTCGAAGCCTCTTCCGTCCAGCATGAGGTATATCGCTAGGATCGCCAGAGTAACGGAGGAACCCAGGGTGGAAATGATCAGTAGCGGGCGTCTGCCCGCGCCTTCGACAGTCGCGGTTGATAATCCGCAGGAGACGAGGCCGACCGCAAGCACGAGTATCGTAGCGATGTTGGAATCGATGCCGATCGACGCCCTTTTGAATAGTACTTCAAGATATTGTATAGTGCTAAAGTTTCCGCTAAGTTGCTGCGCCGTGATCAGGCCCAGTATGATGCTGAGAGCTCGGGCGTTGCTGGGCAACAGCATCAGCTTCAGTTTGGCCATCCAGCTGCGCTTAACCGGTTCCGTTCGGGCCCCGGGACCAATCACAGGCGTATTATCACGAACGTCCTCGATAAAAACGTTACGTAACATGTATTCCAGCTCTCTCCTCGCCTCGTCGCGATCACGGATCCCCTTGAAGAACGCCAGTGCTCTGGTGGCTTCCGCTCTGCGTCCCCTGGCCGCGAGAAAGGCGGGTGTCTCGGGAAACCAGGAGAAACACACCATGAAGAGGATAGGTATCGCGAGGAGTATAGGCGTTAGAACCTGATAGGATACCCATGGACCGATACTGCATGTCAGTAGGGAACCGGTGAACACGTTGACGGCGATCAGAGTACCGAGGGCGCCTCTGATCTCAACATCGGCGACCTCCGACACGTACATCGGGTTGGTGGTATACGAGATTCCCACGCCGATACCGAGAATCACCCTGGAGACGTAGAGGGCAACGACAGTTTGAGCGAAGAACACGATGGTCCAGCCGACGATGAAGAAGCCGCTGGCGAACAGAAGACATCTCTTACGACCATATCGATCGGCTAGACTGGCGCCGAGGAAGGGACCGATCATCGAGCCGATCACCGTAAGCGACACTATCCACGAGCTCTCGTCGTCGGTTATCTTCATCGGGACGTCGCTGGCGCCGGATGTGAGTCGCGAGAGCGACGTGGTGGTCCATCCATAGACGGTGCCGACCGCCACCATGGATAGAGTCGCTGCGAAATGGAGATTGATAGAAGATTAATAGTGACCGATTGGACAATTGATTTTTTTAGATCACCTTTCAAGAACATAATATCTCGAGAAATATGACACAAACCTGAAATGCATGCTAGCCATTGCCTCCATTGTGTCCGTTTGCCCGTTGTTTCTTGTCCGTTGCTACGCTTGTCCTGGGAAGACGAGACTTGCGTCATCTCCCCCTTCGGACACCCCTCCTTTAGCACGCTGATCTACGGTAGAAAAAGATATTGATTCTTTTAAAAAAAGGCAAAAGCTTTCTCTGCTGCTAAGCGACATTTACAGCTGCACAAGCATAAATAATATAGTTTCATCTTTTCTGCTTATCGAAAATTAATTTTGCAATTATTTTAAACTTGCTCAGCTGTAAAATTCTTATGACAATTATAGCGCTACCAATTAAAGATTAATTACCGTTCTTTTATCGTCGATATAATTTAAATGAATTTTTTGCAAATGCTAGAGTATTATTACTGATTCGAAGTAGACCTGAGATGCGTAATGATTTGATGCATGTACATCTTCTTATGCGTGACAGAATGCAGAAGTCTTCTCCGAAGTGAGAAGCAACAGGTGATAGTGATTAATGTGGTATGTAAGAAATCAAATGGAAACTACGTTTTCTCTCAAAGAACTCGGAAATTCCGCGGCTCGGCGATGTACGCGAAATATGTCGGGAGATGCGAAAGAATTATCCTCGGTCTCACCAACAATATAAAACCAGCTTAAGAAAAATGTCTTTTTTATTACTAATAAAAGCGTGATGTGTCTAAAGTGCGAAAATTCGATTTGATGCTTGCAACTCTCGCGAGCAACTATCATTCGTGTTCTTGTTTAATGTTCGGTGAACAAGAAAGAGGAAATAGTTCTAATGTCCATTTCTACTAGATCAGCTTTGACCTTGAATCAACTTTATCTTTTCTCTTTTAATTTTAAGAATTAGAAACAAATGAAAAGTAAATAGACCGAGATTAAAATTAATTGAAATATCAAATTGGACATGACGAGCGTGAAATGGAATCAGCGAATCTGAAGGAACGTTCGTCCAGCGCGAGGTCCCGCGTAAGTCGACGTTTCGCGTTTCCTAATCGAGCGCGGCGCCGAGATAAGGCGCCGCGATCGACCGCACATGCGCGCTACCATTTTCAAAGAGAGTGATACATCGCTCCTCATGGTTGCGTGCTCGCCCGCGACATAACCTAACCCGGGATCCCATCAGCGGCAACTACACGTACTTTTATCGCGATGGCTCGGCGCACGCGAGAACGTTGACTCCCGACAAGCGTGCGAGCGAATGTATCTCGGCTTTCGCTTCGTACCAACGTACTCACCGACGTGTTCGCGCACCTCTTCGCGACTTTTCGGAGCAATCGCACGTATCTGCGAGCCGCGAGGTATCCGAAACCGGAATCGAACGGAGCACCCATGGTCGCCGCGGAATCGTCGGAACGCCGCCAAGAGCGTTCTCCGTCCCGGGGTTTATTTTTGGAGAACACACGAGTCGCACACGAGTATACGCGATGCGACGATGGCACCTGCCTATCACGAAACGGATGAGGCACGCGGCACCCGTTGCATAATAGGCTGGTAGCGGTCAATGCCCCGGGCGACATCCTCCAACGTTGGAGCGTCATCTCATTAAGTTCTGAGTCACCGCGTCGTCGTAAAATGCCAAATGTGTGCCACATCGCGATCGACCAGTCCGATTGTATTTGGAGATCCTTCTGACTTTGCGGGCGGGAATATACGGGGACGGGGATTCGAATTTCCTGGCTCGTACGAGTGATCTCGAACGCGGTACTTTATCTATCTCTCTTGTTTGATACGCGATACCTTATCTGGGCTGCGAATAGTCTCTATGGCTTCGGCGAGTTTAGTTTACCAAAGAGCAATTTGTAAGAATTGCGTATTTTGCAGTGTCGGTAGTAAGCCAGATTTACAGAAATCTCGTTCACGCGGTTGCGTCTTATATTTTCTTGTCTCGCGCGGAAGTGATTTATACCAGCGGTATTTTTGAATTGCTGTGCTCGCGATTCGGACGTCAATTTCCGCGGATCGCGCTTCCACGATTTACGATGCAAATAAATAAAAAAAATCCCTAGCAAATGGAGAGATACTTTCGTACACATTCGATAGTGCACGATGCGCGCGTGTGTAGACGCTCATGTAAAATAAGGCAATATCATTTCCGCCGCGGCGGTTCGCCGGGCGTGCGTGTGTACGTGCGTGAGTGCGTGAGTGCGTGCGTGCGTGCGTGCGTGCAAGCGTGCGTGCGTGCGTGCGTGCTTTCGTTTACGCAAGTATAACCTCAATCAAAAAGAAATTTTTATCTGGCCGAGAAACGCACCTCGAAGGTGCGGAAGAAGTAACGTGTGCTCGGCGAAAGCCGGACGAGATCGATACTCACCAGCGGGTCCACCGATTCTGTCATGTCTTCTCCGTCCCGCTTCTCCTTTGAGACGCGAATCTAATTATAAAAACAACGTGCCGCGCAAATCGATCGGCCGCTGTTCCTTGAGGATGATCACTTTCGCGATTTCGTTGAGATTTCGATCGCGTTCCGGTGGAACCGGATAGGTCGCGTAAAACGCGCACGCGTCAACACTCGATATCTACTTTCACGCTCGCATATACACCGCATATATGACCGCTCTTCTTCCTTGTATTTCTCTTCTTTTTTCCTCTTTTCTTTTTCCGTCACTCTCTCCCGATGTTCCGCGTTCACGATCCCTTCTCCTATCGTCCGCGATATTTATAGGCCTGTTGTTTTTAGTTGAGTTTCTTGCATGTTGAAGAAAAGAGAAAAAGTGAATCATGCAAGAAATTCAGTTAAACGGAATGCGCCTAATGATTATCGAGTGACCATCGGTTGATGATCTCATTTCTAACAGCATTTCAATCATTAGAAGACATTAATATTGGCCGATATCTTTGCGATACAAGAAGCGATTAATATTGATAATGTTTTTTGGACCAGTCAAAAATATTGGATAGTTGGAAATAAAATTGCTAGTAACAGTAAATGCTAATTACTTGATCAATTATCAAAGTAACTTAAATTGAATTATGAAATTAATTTTAATTAAATTAAAAAATTGAAAGAAAAATTGAAAAAAATAAAAAGATTAAAAATTAAATTAAAGAATTGAGTGTTATCAAACACGATTATTATGACAATTTTAATAATTATTGCGTTTCCAATAATATATTTATGCAACGAAAAGTATAATCGAGGATAAATCAAGATGTGAAATGAGTCGTATTCTGTACTGTCAGAAATCAAGTTAAATCTAATTATTCATAGTGCGTTAAAAATACACTAAAAGTAAATTGATGTTATACAATTACGACGCATATATAATTACTAATCTACATTAATTAATTATGTGAGTATTATATTACGTAGTAACAAGCAATAGCAACATGTCGGTTGCGTCTGTTTACGCGACAACGAGAGAAATCGGAGTAGCGCGGCGCATTGCAGCTGCAAAGCGCGAACGGAACTGTGTCACTTACATTCGTGGTTGTAGCCATGCGAGACGAGAATGGAACGGCTGTCCTATTTCTTCTGGCGATTCCGGAGCCTCAGCCTTCAACGATGAATCCAACAAGTAGTTTTCCCAAGCTTTATCGGGAAAATATCCTTAATTTTAGGTCACTCGTGTATTGATACTTTTCAGTTGGAAACAATACCATTGGCACACGTACGATAAAATCAGTCCTATTGCGGTTTGATATTCAATGAGTTCTCCAAATACTCGTAGTCACAACTTTTCAGAATGCCTGCTTTATATTACACTTAACACTTAAGCAACTTTCTCTTTCTCAGTTTTCTTTGACATTACAAATCACAGTCGAAGCAAATATTTGGCGAGTAAAAATATACGTCAGTAATAGGTATATCTTTGTACTCCACAAAAAATTATGCGTTTATTTTATGTATATAGTCGTAAAGTTTATTTCCAAAGGAGAAGACTGAAAAATGATGTCGATTGAAAAATATTATCGCATTTCGTCACGTTTTCGCATATCGCGTTGTTGCCTGATAGCCAGAAATAATTTGCTGAATTTTTATTATCTTACCGGTTTTTTTCCACGCTTATATTCGTATTCTGTTATGCACAAAACTCTTTCGCAACCAGTTCCGTTTCGGGATGATTTCTTCAGTGCTTCTTCCGTCGCCCGCGGCAAATGAACACTGGTAACTTTTGAAATCGAATCCGCGTCGGACCGACATTGGAGTTAGGCCGCGTCTTATCTATGCGGTCCGATCAATCCAGATGGATCTATATATCTGTTACTCCATAATCAGCTTCAGAGCTGCGGTTCAACTGTGACAGTCCACCCCCACTCTCGCATTCAATTGGCTTTAATCCGATTCTCGTTAATTGTAAGCTGTTACGCATTAGAAACTACTACGCCTAGAAATAATGACCGTTTCGACAATTTTCGTGACACGTGTTTTCTTTCACTAATCGGTAACGAGCAACAGGCGGTTGTACGTCGTACGTCGCACATGGTGATTTGATTTATGATGTGAACATGAAGAACTGAATCCTAATAACGCCTTTGTTTCCTTATCTCTTGTGAATGTTTCTCATTATCTCGGCGGACCGATATTTTTATTCGTTTGGAACCATGCGCCACGGTTTATCGCACGTTTGTAATGTGTATACAAACGTTCTCAAACAAACTGCGACGACGGATGATATACTTGTTAATTGTTGCCAGTGAAGAAATGTCAAGCGTCAAGTTGAACTGCTCGATCGGCCTCCGCGAGCGACTCGATTTATTCAAGTTCTGTTCGCCATTGTTGAAACCTATTAATCGAGTCGAATAGAGAGGAGAGAGAGAGAGAGAGAGAGAAGAAACGACGGGACAAGTAGGGTATTTCGTC